TTTATTCTCATATTTTAATTTATATGTGAGTAACCCATATAACCCATTAAGTCAATAAGTTTTATATTTTTAGATTTGGATATTAAATTCAACTCATATAACATATAAGTCTGGGTCAAACCCCCATTAAATCTCAAACCCATGTGGGTTTGGTTTGGGTCGGGTCGAGTTACCCGTTTTGNCACTNNTTGGCTAAACCCCTAATTCAAAATTNTTATGTTGATATTAATATTCCAATACAATAAGAAAGCCAAGTTTAGTTTACATCATATACAACGAATGTTCCCGCACATAGTGCGGGTGAGAATCTAGTTAAAATTTATAAATCGGAAGATTTTCTAATTGCACTAGAGTGTAGATGAGAAAACAAAATGATTTGCGTTTTATATACTATAGCTTAATTCCGATTCAATAGCTTATATATGAGGCATAGGACCACAAAAATGTCAAACACTTTTAAACCAACCAAGGCACAATCTAAGGCAAGTTGTGTAGGACTAGAAGCTAGTTAGTCCATTAATACATAGCTGTTAGGTCAACTCTAATTATTTCACTTTTTTTTTGGTTGACATTTTTAATCACGATTTTTTCAGACTTCTCATGAGCTTTGACATTCGCTTTACGAAATAAAATCTTTATATATATAAACAGTTCTTTCGAAAATAGTTATAAAAGGAAAAAATAGGAAGAAGGATAAGACTTATTGATTTTATTCTCATCAAAACAGCGAAGTTTTTGGCAACTTGCAATACCTTCCACATTTTTATTATCCGAAAAAGTGAAAATAAAGTTAAAACATTCCATTCCATTCCATTATGTGAAAATTCTGCGTGAAGTTGGTCTTACACTTAATTCAACATTCCTAATCATACGATATGGATTCGCAAATTATTTTTATGTGTGTCTTCTTTAGCCAAAAATCTAGTAGACTATTATATTCTCAAACAACCACATAAATTGCTTTTTAATTAAAAATATAAGGTAGAGAAATAAGATTATTAAACCATTTGTACTCGTTATCACTGTAGTCGTAGTAGCAAAGACTGCATTTGAAAGCCCATCAATATTCAAATGTGTTTGATACACTTAAAGCATTTTTAAGCATATGGCCCAAACTAAAGTACATATGTTGCCTCTTTCGCTGACAAGGAAGAAGAACATACTTGGCTTCACGGTTAACTTCTTGAGCCGATGCAAGATCTTACCCAGAAGAAGCCACACGATTTCTCTCTCCCGAAACAACTCCGTATGCGTCGTCACTCATGAGGAGTTATCACAGGGAAACTATAACGATGAGTTTACAAATCTTGCAGCTTCGGACTTTATCGAAATCTTGCAGCTTTGTGCTGGAAACGGAGATGTTATGGAAGCGAAAGCTTGCCACGGGAAGATTATACGTATTGAGTTGCAGGGAGATGTTACTCTGTCGAATGTTCTTGTTAATTGTTATTCCAAGTGTGGTTTTGTTGAGCTTGCTCGCCAAGTGTTTGATGGAATGCTTGAGAGAAGCTTGGTTTCTTGGAACACCATGATTGGTTTGTATACCCGGAACAGAATGGAGTCAGAAGCATTAAAAATTTTTTTGGAGATGCGAAACGAAGGGGTTAAGTTTAGCGAATTCACCATCTCGAGTGTTCTTTCTGCTTGTGGGGCTAATTGCGATGCATTGGAATGTAAGAATTTGCATTGTTTGTCATTGAAGACATGTCTTGACTTGAATTTGTATGTTGGTACTGCTTTGCTTGATCTTTATGCAAAATGCGGGTTGATCAAGGACGCTGTGCAGGTTTTCGAGTCTATGCAGGACAAAAGTTCAGTCACATGGAGTTCTATGGTATCAGGTTATGTTCAGAACAAGAATTACGAAGAGGCTCTGCTTCTTTACCGTCGAGCTCAGAGAATGGGCTTAGAGCAGAATCAGTTTACATTATCTTCAGTAATTTGCGCTTGCTCAAATCTCGCAGCTTTAATAGAAGGGAAACAGATGCATGCTGTTATACGCAAATCCGGTTTTGGTTCGAATGTCTTTGTGGCATCCTCTGCAGTTGATATGTATGCTAAATGCGGAAGATTGAGAGAGTCTTATATTATCTTCTCAGAAGTGCAAGAGAAGAATATTGAGCTTTGGAACACGATCATATCGGGGTTTGCAAAGCATGCTCGTCCTAAGGAAGTGTTGATTTTGTTTGAGAAAATGCAGCAAGATGGAATGCATCCAAATGAGGTTACTTTTAGCTCCTTGTTGTCAGTTTGTGGTCACACGGGTTTAGTCGAGGAAGGAAGAAGATTTTTCAAACTCATGAGTACCAATTACGGTCTATCGCCTAACGTGGTTCATTACTCATGTATGGTTGATATTCTTGGTCGGACTGGGCTATTGTCTGAAGCATATGAGTTGATAAAGTCTATTCCTTTCAACCCCACTGCTTCCATTTGGGGTTCTCTTCTTGCTTCTTGTCGAGTCTACAAAAATCTCGAACTGGCAGAGGTTGCGGCCAAGAAACTATTCGAACTAGAACCAGAAAATGCCGGTAATCACATCTTACTATCCAACATCTACGCGGCAAACAAACAGTGGGAAGAAATCGCCAAATCAAGGAAGCTTCTCAGGGACTGCGACGTGAAAAAAGTGAGAGGAAAAAGTTGGATTGAAATCAAGGACAAGGTCCACATTTTCAGTGTTGGAGAGAGCGGTCATCCGAGAATCCGTGATATCTGTTCGATGTTAGACAATCTGGCAATCGAATTGAGGAAGTATGGTTATAAACCAAACGTAGAACACGAGCTGCACGACGTGGAGGAATGGAAGAAAGAGGAGCTTTTGATGCAGCATAGTGAGAAGCTGGCTTTGGTTTTTGGTTTAATGTGTTTACCAGAAGGTTCTACTGTGAGGATCATGAAGAACTTGAGGATATGTGTGGATTGTCACGAGTTCATGAAAGCTGCATCAATGGCTACAAAAAGATTTATCATTGTTAGAGATGTTAATAGGTTTCACCATTTTAGTGATGGTCATTGTTCTTGTAAGGAATTTTGGTGACAAACTTTGTTCAATTTATTATTTTGTGAGAGAAAAACAAAATTTATTTGCACTATGATTGTGTAGATAGGTGTAAAATTGAAGGCAAAAATAAAAGATTCAATTTGAGCTATTTGGGTCTCTGCTAAGTATCGTTGGGTTAGAGAGTTAAGCCCAATAATATATGTAAGGCCCATTATTAAAACCCTAAAGAGAACCTTTATTTATATACAAAGGCATTTTTCTCTCCTCTTTCTTTGCTTCATCGTTTTTCGCCGCCGCTTCATTTTCCTCGCAGGTACGTTCTGCTTAACCTAGAAATTTCTTCATTGTCGACGAACAGATTCGAAGCTAAGGAATCTTGTGCTTTAGGTTCGATCTGTGTTAATTTGCTGTGGTCTTTGTCTGTGAAAGTGTAGAATGGTAATCTTAGGTTTTGCTTAGATTCGTCAATCTTGGTACGGTCTTGTAAAAGTAGTGAAATGGGTTGATTTAGTACCTGATGGTGCTTTTAAGTTGATGTATCCATGGCTTAGATTTTGATTATAACTTTTCTCTCTTCTTTCAAGTTCAGTGTTCATATGTTGATGGATATCTCTTGATTCATTTAAGAGTCTATTTGACATTGCAATTTTCATGTGTTTCCTTCGTTGTTGTTAGTATTGTACCCTACTGTTGATTATAAAGAAACAAATTCATATGTTTGTGGCACTCGCTTGAATCTATTTGACATTGTTATTTTCAGGTATTTCCACTCAAATGATGGATTTTTATGACACAAACCGGCACTATTGTGCTAAATGTTGGGGATTTAAAGATACAATTGAACATGGATCACAATTCTGTATCACTAATATTGTTATATCTTATCATGTTCTTCTCTTTGTAGGTAAGTCGCAAGTAGCTGAAAGATGGGGCGTGTTCGTACCAAGACCGTGAAGAAATCTTCTCGTCAAGTCATTGAGAAGTACTACTCTCGCATGACTCTTGACTTCCACACCAACAAGAAGATCCTTGAAGAAGTTGCCATCATCCCTTCAAAGCGTCTCCGCAACAAGATTGCTGGATTCTCCACTCACTTGATGAAACGTATCCAGAAGGGACCAGTCCGTGGAATCTCACTCAAGCTTCAAGAAGAAGAACGTGAACGCCGCATGGACTTTGTTCCCGACGAGTCTGCTATCAAGACCGATGAGATCAAGGTTGATAAAGAGACTCTAGAGATGCTTGCTTCCCTTGGAATGTCTGAAACTCCCGGCGTCTCTGTAGTCGAGACACAGGCTATGGCACCTGCTTTCGGCGGCAGGGCACCAAGAAGGTACTGAGGAGCTTGTTACTACTATCAGTCAATCAAGAGACAAAGATTGGCTCTTTTTTCTACAGTTAGGGACAAAAAAAGACTTATGGTTCTTGGAGTGTTTATTGTTTCAAGATTTATGTCTTAAACCAAATGTTCGACTCTTTTCCTTTTCAATGTTTTTTGAGTTTCGATGATCGTTTTGTCTACCAAATTTTCACTTCATAGAATCAGAATCTCCAAATTGAACTTCAAACATATATTCAAACAAATCTCCAATTTCAGAAGGGCAAATTGGTAATTTTTCAAGATGATGTGCTTCGTTATAACCAGAGAGAAGAAAAGAAACGAGAGAGGAAGAGAATGGATAATGGAGGGAGCATGTTGTCGCTCTCTGCTCCACACTTTCCTTACTCAGCCACCATTCTCCGTCGTCACTCGACGGTGACTTCAATCTCATACTCCCTTAAACCACCGCCTCAACAACCACAACCTCCGCCTGAACCTCCTGAAAGTCCTGACCTTCGCCGACCAGAGAAATCTCTTGG